TCTGTAGTTATCTGGGAGATTATTTCTGCTTTGAATTTTTCTAGAGCCTCATTCATCTGTTTTGTTATTTCCTGTGCTATCAGTTTAGTGTGTCCAGGTCATTGATTATGAGACTTTTGCACCTCATTTCCCCTAGAAACTGCCTTTTGTGGGGTGGAAGTCTGGGTTTGTGACTTGCTTAAATGCCTTCTCATTTTTTTTTTTTTGGTACTGTCCCTGGTTTAGTTCCTGGGTTGATATTGTGAAGTTGTTTATTGTAAGTATCTTTGTTTATCTATTTAAAACCCTTATGGAATGATTGCTTCTCAGAGGTGTCTACCAGATATAGCTGGTCTTTAGGTTTTGAGTCTCTAATGACTCTGAGGCTATCTCATTTTCATACCAGGAAGGAAAACTGTTTAGATCAATCACAACACCTTAGCCCAAGTCATATAATAGGCAACACCATAGCATCTAATACCTCTTAAAGAATGACAATTTGTGGTAGTTATTAATCTATCACCTTTAAAAAATAAAGGGCCTCCTTCAAGGTGTGTCTCTGCTGTCACAATAGACAATGTGGGCAGCAGTGTGCAGTTTTAAGTCAATGAGTCTCAGTAAGCTAGTCTCAGACCTGTGAGATTCAGGCAGATTTCTGGTTGCAAGACCCAAGTTGAGCCCCCTGTCCTCCTGCAGGGTTGCACTCTGCAAGTTTCTACTGCAGATTTCAGCTGCTTTACCCCTGAAGAATGTCCATTTTCCAATGGGAGCTGATGATCCCTCCTACTTACCAATCATGGTTCCCTTTTATATTTCTAATAAAAGTAAATAAGAAACCAGTTCTGACATGTTACTTTATCAAAATAGGTATTTTGAAAAATAAGAGCTATTCTAGATGTTTGAATTTCAGATATTCTTCAAATACAAAAGTGAATCACCTCTGTTTCTCTTCTTTTCCATTATTATTACATGTTTTATACTTTATGCATTGTCTGCTCCCCTTTCTCTGTGTTCTCTCCCTGGATACACTGCCATGAGACTCTGTTACATCTCCACCTTCCTCACTGCCTCTCAACCAATTCCCTTATCAGTGGGTGGTGGAGCTCAAAGAGTAAAGTTCTGGGCATTATAGCTAGGCCATGCTGGTATCCCAGGCAAGACTAAGTTCAGGACAAAAGATCAATTGTGTGGGGATTTTCTTGAGGCAGTGCTTTTCCTCTATCTGTGGTTCATTTCTGTTCATCACAGGCAAAAGCCTCTACGCTCTGTAGTGTTATCACCACCTGACTGATCACCCACACTAGGCTCTTTGCTGTCATCTTGCCAGTGATGGATATGATTCCCATATCTTGTACTGAGGATTTGATTTCTAGAGCCATTTACATTACTAGGTGTGATGATGAGAGCTCCTTTAAAGCAGAGATTGGGTCTCAATCTGAACACTTAGATTGGGTCTAAGTGTTAGTCATGAGTGATGATCACAGTAAAGAAGAAGGAACAGATAGGGTGTCTTAATTACTTTTCTCTTGTTGCTGAGACAAAACTCTCGACACTCAAAGTTAAAGAGGGAAAGGATTATTTAGCTCACAGTTAGTAGAGGTTTCAGTCCATAATCAGCTGGATTCAAGGAAGGCTTGGCAGAAGAGAACAGTTCATGGCAGGCAGAAGGTAGCAAAGCAACATGGGACTTTAATGGCATCTTACTACCCCCTTTATCTTATCCAGACTCCTTAGGGAAGGTAGCACTCACATCCCTAATCCTTGTATCCATGAGCTTCGCATTGCACATGAATCAATTCCAGCCTCACACACTCTAGATCCAGCCACCTCTGAAAAAGCCATCTGTGACCTCATGAGGCCTTGGGGATGGGAGATCTAAACACAAGCCTTGACATAGGGTGATAATTGAACATGAAAATGGCATGTCAGGAAATGAGGACTGGCTACCAGGGGCCCTAAAAACAAAGAAAATGTTTTTCAGAAACAAGGATATTTGATGCATTCATCGAACTTTACCAAACTCCATAATATTTCAGGGTTGCAATTATTCATAGGTTGGGGTGTCACTTGTGGCTTCTGAGAAATTGTGGAAGAATTTTGTCAGTACAATTCAAAATGTACGTGAAATCTTTCAATACAGGTGTAGGTGGAAATAGTTCAACAAAATATCTCCTACAGTATCATAATTCCACTCTCATTTACTAATTGTGTGACATTAGAAAAGCAATGAGCCTGTGTAATAGTGTTAGTTTTCTAAGTTAATGTGGCCCTGATGATAATCAGTAAGGTCGTGATATACAATGATTGTCATGTATAATAAATGATGTGACTCTTCTCAAAATGTATTCAGTGGCATAATAGATCTACAAAGGCACATGGGTGAATAGAAATGTATTCTGGACAATTTTGATGTAGAGTCATATAAAATATATCTGATGTTCATGATATTCAATAGTCATGATAGTTTTGAAGACTCATGAATTGACTTAATTTTAGGAAATACAGTAAATGCTTAATTGAAATATGCATTCTCAATTCTTATTAAATTTGTAGGTAGTATTCCTAGATACACATTTGAAAATTTGGAGATAGTTTATGTAACTTGTTTATCTCAATGTCAATCAGCTGACAAATGTAAATAGTGCACATTATTGAATTAAATGAAGTAGGATGGAAGCTTGCCATCTTTAAGCCTTGAAGGAGATGTTTGTGTGGTTTGTACAAAGCATAGTTTTTTGTTTTACAGTTTAATTTTTTTTGGTACCAGGGATCGAACTCAGGACCCTGCACTTGCAAGGCAGACACCAGAACCACTGAATTAAATCCCCAGACAGTTTAATTTTTTGTTAGTGGTCAATAGGAAGTTTTGAGGGAAATTAGCAGAACAATAAATCATCTACTGAGCCTACTAGATTTTAATTTATATCCTTATATTTGATATCTTAGTATATATTAGCAAAAACTGTGTTTTCATTTTGACAACATTTGGAAAAGTCCTAAATTGAACAAAAGTTACCAACCCAATTAATTTGGATTTCAGTCCATTAAGTAATACTAAGCTGACAGTTTTTCTGGGATGCAGATAGTCTGAAATATGAGAAGACTACTTAATTATTTCTTCTAACTTTGATAGCACAGAAACCACTCAACTTTATAAGCAACCTACACAATACTTTGCTTTCATCCTATATTTTCATACCTTTTCCCAGTTTTCTCAGAAAGGGAATGATTCTGAATAAATTAACCTTCAGTATCCACAGAGGAACCATGATTAAAATTATCAGGAAAACCTCAGCATCATTTTACACTCAAAATATTTTCAAAATATTTTGGGTGAAGTTGTGAATTAAGTGTCATGCTAATGGCAATAATTAGTCTAGTCAATGATTCCCTTTCAATTTACATTACTTTTGTGAAATCTAAATGAACAAATGAATATTCCTCTCCCCAAACAAGTGTTCAATTTTCTTGCGAAGCTCTCAGAAATTCCGCCTCTAGTTGATGAGAGCACCCCAAATTCTTGGTTGTTTCTCACAGAGAGACCAATTGGAGTTGCATGTACCTTTGTGGAATTGGTGACTTTTGGCAGGCTGTAAATATAGCTCTGCATACTGCATCATATTTTCCTGTGCTTCATCAATTTTAACAGAATTGTCTATGAAAGGATTGGTTATCAGTGGTTAAGGTAAAAAGTATCATTAAATAAACAATTGTGATTATGTACTTCAAAGAACAAAAGATCTTTATATATCATTAGAAAAAAGTTTTAAAAATGTTTAAAAAATACTGAGGTAAAATATGGCCCCAAAACATATCATTTGACAATGATTTGTAGCAGAAAATAAATTACTGCTTAATAATGGCCCTTTAAATTTAGCATCTACCTTAACTCTGTTCTGGGTATAAAGTAGTCACTCAATTTCTAGTTTTTATTTGGTTACTCTCTGTCTTACATTTAATATCCAGCTTAGGTCATTAGTTTGTTTCTTTACAATCCTTTCAGAAAAACCATATTTTTTCTTTGGAGATGGAATGATTACATCACATCAGCACAACTTCAGACTTTGTACATATAGAATTTTTCCTTTAATCCAGTGATGAGGAATCTTTTAGAGTTTTCAAAGACACAAACAGCTTGCTGTGGCACAAGTGCCGTAGATTTGTCACCACTGCTCTATTCAGGACTTACCAATGGAGGAGAATATGTGTCGTTTTAAACTTGAAACAAGTATATGATCTATTGAATAACTTTATTTGGTTCTTCAATTTTCAGATACAAAGAATATTTATTTCGGTTTTTAAATATTGAGTAATATATACAATTACTTAAGGACAATTATGCTATTTAATAGGACTAGTCCATCAAGTAGTGACATTAAAGATTCTAAGATTTTCATTGTGAGAGTTCTCTAAAAAAATTAAGTTTAGCACAAAATCTCCTAGTTTTATCATATTAAAGTACATTGTAATGTAACTTAGCTTCCCATGATTTCTGCTTTCTGTTTTATGAACAGGCTTTCATTGCTAAAAACTTTCCTTAGGGCAGCCTTCATCTCCTTATTCCTCAGGCTATAAATCAGAGGATTGAGGAGGGGTGTTACCACAGAATAAAATAAGGTCACAATTTTTTGCACTTCCACTGGGTGTGTTGACCCAGGGCTAACATACATCACCATAATAGAGCCAAAAAACAAAAACACCACAGCCAGATGAGAAGCACAAGTGGAGAAAGCTTTGCTTTTGCTGGCTTCAGAGGGCATCCTCAGCACAGACAAAATCACCAGTGCATAGGAACAAAGGATGAATAGAAAAGTCCCAATCATGAAGACTGCATTGAAAGTAGAGTAAATGAACTGGGTGGTATTGTCCTCAGAACAGGATAGCATCATTATTGGGACAGGATCACATACAAAATGGTTAATGATATTTGGGCCACAGTAGGGTAACTGTGAAATGAAAACGACTGGAGTTAGGAAAATGATGAACCCACTGGACCATCCCAAGACAACAAGGCCAGTGCAGAGTTGTCTGGTCATGATGCGTGGATAATGCAGTGGATGGCATATAGCAAGATACCTGTCAAAGGCCATGATGCAAAGGTAGAAGCCTTCATCACACCCAAAGGAGAAGAAGAAGTAGAATTGTGCAAAATAACTCACAAAGGAGATGGACTTCGTTGTGGAGATGAAGTTGGCCAATAAGTTAGGGACAGTTGTGGTGACATAGCATATTTCCACAAGAGAGAAATTCCCCAAGAAGATGTACATGGGCGTGTGAAGGCACCGGTCTCCCTGCACAGCCCAGGCAATGGCCGTGTTCCCCATGAGAGTCAGAGTGTAGGCTACTGAGAAGAGCCCAAAGAAGAGGAGCTGCCTTTCTGGACTTGAGGGGAAGCCCAGGAGGATGAAGTGGGTAATGGAGTTTGTGTTTTCTTTCTTGGATACGTTCATTGTTCTGGAAGACATGAAGATGATATCAGTTATTCATTTAATGTAGAGTACTAGTTTTTATAGGAAGCACCAAATTTTTGAAAGTTTCTTTTGGTAAAGTAATAAACGTGAGATTTCTCCTGAAGGCAACAAGAATATAATCTTGATTAACTATGTCTGGAGAATGTGATTCTATTTAAGTGCATTGCAAATAATAAAAATAAAAATCAGCATTGTGCTGGAGGAAACATTAAGAACAGAATTTCAAACTTTGTAATTTTAGGAAGTCACTTTACCTGCATATGTATTTGTCCATATGTGTTTACCTTATATGGTAGAGTGCATGTACATCAGTCTGAGTTAAATTCTTTTTAAGGCACTATATAAGATAATTTGCTATAACTGTTTATACTGGTCATGAGACTAAATGAAGTGTTACTCACATTAAAATATTCCAAAGTCAGGTCTCATGGTGAAAGAATGCATCCACCAATGTGTATCCCTCTTGTGGTTCCTTATGGTATTGTACAATGATTAAAAAAAATCTTTCTGAGGGCCACTGATTTAGATCATTGATACCACGCCTGTCTCACAAGTGCAAGGTCTTGAGTTTGATCCCCAGTAACAACAACAACAAAAAAACCAAAAAGAAGTAATCTCTCTGGGCCTGGTATAAATGGCTTTTATATGACTATACCTAGTAATTATTTAGCATTAATGAAATGTTTTCTCTCTGCCCTGCTGGTTTCAGGTCCACAGTACAGGGAAGAGCCTTGCAGTTTTGCACCTAGAATTTTCTAGATGAAAATTTTGATTCACTATTTTGTTGATGTAAAAATTCGATATACCACATGGGCCACTTTTTCTAAGTGAGGGAGCCTGCTCTGAGCGGTTAGACTGCTTAATGTGGACTATTTTGTTGCAAAAAAAAATCATTGCAGATATGTTTATTTGTGCATGTAGGTTCCATAGTGTTTTCTTAATCAATGATTTTTCTGCTTATTGTTTGCTTTCTTTTATGTACATAACCTTGATGCTTTTTTTGGCAGGCATTTCCCTCTAAGACAATCTTGAAACACTGAATGTCTTGCTTCACTCATCTGTGCCTCTACCTTGCAGTTTTTTGTTGCTGACTTGAAACCTACCTTTTTTATGTGTTGTTTCCTGATAACCCTGTTCTTGGTTATCATATTTGATATCTATGTGGAAGGGCTGCTCCTGTATAGTCTTCCTTCTGTATCCATTGATTTTGGATTATGGTTTCAACAAAATGCAGAATAAATATATTAGAAAAATTGTGTTTGTACTAAAATATAGAGGCATTTAAATCCCTTTGCATTGTTTCCTAAAAGGTACAGTTTGCCAACTATTTATATAGCATTTACACTGTTAGTTATTGTAAGTAATCTAGAGATGATTTAAAATATGTGGGAGACAATGCGTAGATTTATAAATGTGTTACATTATAGTCCATAATGGGCTTGAACATCTGTGGATTTTGGATCCCCAAGTTATTCTGGAGCCAATCCTTCACGCATACCAAGGAGCAACTGCATCTCTTTGCTTATTGAGCTGTCCAAACTGTGAAATCTGAATGTAGCCTTGTGGTTCTGTTTCCCTTTCAATCACATTTCAGGTGGCAACATAAGACAGGTAATAATTTCTCAGAGTATAAGAAGTATTTTAGCATTTGTGTTTTTGTTGTTGTTGCTGTTGTTCTCATAGATACAGATTCTCTCTTGGTCTGTTGTGTTTGCTAGTAAGGTTAAAACAAAATGCTTTTTATTCTGAATGACTATGGAGTTTCCTCTCAACTAAAGCTATTGTACAGGATCTGATAAAGAGTATGTGTCATTTTGCCTGAAGACAGTAAGCTAGGAGGCAAGGGTAGCATGGTTCTTTCCAAACATTATAAATGAAAAGTAGAGCACCTTTGAGGTCAAAACTTTTAAATCATAGAATATATGTAGAAGCAGAGAAAAAGCAGACGATATTAATGTTAGTATAAAAGGCAATTCTCATCATTGTTGCCAAATATCTTTACTGTGAGATGCTTACCATTTTATTCAGCTACATTCTTTTATTGAAGGAAACATTCACTTATCTGCCACAAAAGACTTAGTGATTATTCAATTTTATAATTATTCATTTGATTGAACTTTAAAATTCATTTTGTTTTAGTCCTTGTTTACACTGGCCTGTGTCCCAATTTCTCAGGACTCAATTTTCAGCTACTTTAATTATTTCACTGGCTGTGAAACACAATGATGTTGTATGAAATCAATGTCATTACTCATCCTGCTTGAATCTTCTGTACACTATTTCTTGAGAATACACAGAGTCACAATCCAAAGAAGGTCCTAAATGCAATAATCAAAACTACACTGGTGCTAAATGGGTTGTTTCATGGAAAGAAGGGCTATTTCAAATAAAACCAAAGCATGTAAAACTAGTAAAGCTGCTATAAATATATAGATTGAAGAAATAAAATATTAGAATTGAATTGGACTTGCCATGCTTTGTCTATTGAACAAGGAACAAAATTGATGTAATACTGATAAGAAATCTGCCTCCTTAAATTTATCATTTACACATTTTCATTGCAAGTACAATTGCATGCTTCATTGCAAACAATACCCATTAACATTCTTAAAGGCTAGGTGAAGTATATAAATGTATTTCCAAAGGCTTGGTGAAACAAAAAGAAAATTTATATTTGTAAGCTTATGTGCCTGAATTTTATTTTAATCAAATATTCATATATTCAGAATAAAAGGAAAACACTTGATAGTAAATTCATTCATACATAGTACTTCTTACAATATGGTATATTAAACTTTAACTCACTTCCTTGTAATGTTCACGGAAGAGCTCTCTCAGAAGGAAACAAAATATTACCCTGCATTGCGAAAAGCATTTGAGGGACTTATGAGCGTTTGGATGATCCAATTTGTAGTGTGCCATGAGTTTCAGAGAGTGATCATTAAAAGATTTTGTTTCCTATTCAGCTGTGAAACTCATATTTATGGTTAAAAAATTTTAGATGAGAGTATTGTTTCTGTTTATGCATTTGCATCATGGCCCTTTGAGATTTGAGAACCTTTCCCTTGATATTCCAAAATATATCCTTCAACACATGAGATAATTTTCTAATTTTATTTATTTGTCATTAATTTTATTGGTACATTTTAAGTATACAATATGATGATATTCATCATTTGAAACTTGTACCTTTACATGATATATCTTGGTTCTTTATTTCCCCATTCTCATGCCCTCCATTCAAACCCTCTACCCCTCCCTATTTACAAAGACTTTGTTTCCATTTTCTTCTTTTCTCATATTTTTTCCTTTCCCTGCTCTCCATTCCCCTAACCCTACCAGTTCCCCTTCCCCTTTTGACGTTTATTTCCTATTTCACATTATCTAGTATACCTTTTAGTCCTTATTTACACTTTCAGTTTCTCACACTAGAGAAGCTATTCCATGTTTACACATGTGTCCTATTTATTCCACTTAAGAGTATTTCCTCAATGTGCATCAATTTAGCTATAAATATCTGTAATTTATCAATTTTCATGGCTGAGTAGTACTCCATTTTATTAAAAATCCCACATTTTCTTTAATCCAGTCTCCAGTTGATGGGCAATTGGGCTGTTTCCAAGTTTTAGCTATTACAAATTGTGCTGCTATGAACATGGGTGCACATATATCACTGTGCTATGATTCTTTTAATTCTTTGGCAAAGACACCCAGCAGGGGAAGAGCTGAGTCAAATGGGACTTCCAGTCCTAGTTCTTTGAGGTATCTCCATACTGATTTCCACAGTGCTTGCACCAGTCTACACTCCCACCAGCAGTGGAGCAGGGTTCCTCTTTCCCCACAGGGATGCCAACATTTGTTATTGGTTGATTTCATGATAGCAGCCATTCTTTCTGGAATGAGGTGGAATCTCAGCGTTGCTTTCATTTGCATCTCTCGAATGACCAGTGCTGTTCAACATTTTTTCATAAGTTTATTTCCCATTTCTACTTCTTTGTCTGAGAAATGTCTTTTCATTTCAGATGCCCATTTTTGGATTGGGTCTTCAAATTTGGGACGTCTGATCTTTTTAAGTTCTTTATAGATTCTAGATAATAGACGTTTGTCTGAGGAATAGCAGGTGAAAATTTTTTCCCCCATTGTGGGTTGTGCCTTCACACTGCTGGTGGTTTCACTTGCTGTGCAGAAGCTTTTTAATAAGAAGAGATCCCACTTCTTGATTGTTTGTGCTAGTTCATGGGCAACTGAGATTTTGTTCATAAGATCTTTTCCTACCCCAGATCCTTCCAGAGTTCTACCTAACTTCTGTTTAGCTGGTTCAGTGTTTCTATTTTAATATTTAGATCTTTAATCCATTTCTATTTTAGTTTAGAGTATGGTGAGAGATATAGGTCTAGTTTTAATCTTTGGCAATTTGAAAACCAATTTTTCCAGCACCATTTATTAAAGAGGCTGTCTTTCCTCCAGTGAGGGTGTTTGGTTCCTTTGTCAAAGATGAGGTGGCTGAGTATGTCTCTAGTTGTTTCTCCATCTTCTAATCTGTTCCACTGGTCCACAGGTCTATTTCTTTGCCAGTAACATGCTGTTTTTTCACAGTAGCTTTGTAGTATAGTGAAACTATCTGTTAAATAAAGATTCCATCTTCCAACCGGCCCCAGTGCCAGGCAACCACCATTCTACTTCCTGTCTCCATGAATCAGACTGTTCTAGGTGGCTTTCCTAAATGGAATTACACATTACTTGTCTTTTCATGGCTGGCCTCAAGGTTCATCCTTTCACATTTGTAACTTTTTTTTCAAGTAAATTTGAGAATACTTTCATGTGCTTTTTGGTCACTAGTTTACAAATTATTAAGTTATTTGCTCATTTAAAAAACTAGGGTGCAAAAATAAATTAAATTAAATTAAATTAAAAACTAGGTTGTTTTTCTTGTGAAGTTGTGGTTCTTTATGTATTCTGATATTAATCCTTGCAGATCT